TTTACTACCTTCTGTTGCTTGTAACCATCCCGTTTCTATCGATGGTGGGGGAGACAGAAGCCACAGAATTACTGGGGGTGCGGGGGGGAGCAGGACAAGAAAATACACAACCTTAAGTAGAGGAAGAACAGTAGTCTGTGTTCAGGATGGAAGAACGGCATATGCCACGACACAGGCCTGTTCAGGGACATTGCTACAACGTCATTTCTGTTGTATGCTTCTGGAAACTGCCCTGCAGAGTTCTGTTTCGCTGTGGTCCCTCTTCATGTCAGTTCCACTAATTTTGAAGTGCAAGATTAAAATCAGGTAGCAACAGGGCTAGGCGGGAATTATCTCAGAATACAGTGAAACCAAACTATTCACCCCATCTGTAGGGACATCTGCTTCTCCCCACTGCAGCTGGGCCCCAAGGGGAGGAGATACGAGTAGCAACTGCTACTACTTCACCTGAAGGGAGGGAAGGGAGAATCCTTACTTGTTCTGGTGATCGGAAAGAGCAGCTTTAGGTTTTGGGAAACAGAAACCTGGAAGTAGCAAGAAGCAATATACTGTGATCTAGTTAATAGCCCCAACAAGACTCATCCTCATTAGGAAAGGACTATGAGACTGATGAGAGCCCAAGGGGTCACAGTGACTAATTTGCCAGAAGCAGTGGTGATTGCCCACTGGGATGGGTGGCTGTACATCTCAGCATCATGAGAGCTGACAATTTCTTGAGGTTGCAGTCCAGAGCTGACAAGCTTCAAGACAGCTCCTTGCTTTAGCCCATCAGTAGGTGGTCCCTACACTATCAGCTCTCCATAGCTGACAAACTCAAGCCCTGCTGCTCTGAACACCACTGTTACTAAAGCACTATTATGACTTTAGAGCTCCTGCCTGAAGGATCCAGTAGTACATAAGCACTTAGTATGACAGGGGAACATTTAAAAATGCTCCTCAGTGAGGTCATTAAAATGGAAAGAAGCTTCCACTATAGTTAGAGTCAGAAGACAGAGTGGTCCGAGAAGCAAGCTAGCTGGCGCAGAGCAGGTCATACCATTTCACTGCTCCATGCTTCAACTTTCACAGCTATCAAACACAGAGGACAGAAGTTGTCCTCTATAAAGATTACATAAATCTACCGATGGAAATTGCAAAGAAAAGCTAGGGCTTATTATGTAAAGATCCTGCCCTTCTACCACATAGGGCTACTTCAACAACAGTCCTTTTGACCCAAGAGCAAGACACTCCTTTCCTCTATACAAAGTTTTCTCCCAGTTAGGGCTGCCCTTGGATGTTTGGCAGAGTATAGAACAGCAGGTTTTCAACAGCCTGCAGGATGTTTAAATGTTACCATTTGCTAAAGAGAGATCACTGAATTATATTTGCTCTGACTCAGGCTGCCACAAGGGTGAAGGGACAGCTCCATTCATTATGCATGTCCAATAAAACATCACACAAGTGAGAGAAGATAAAAGATGCAAAACAGCAGGTGAGCCTGCTGCTCCTATCCTAATAAGCTGAGTTAGGCAAGGGGCAAGCTGAGATGGGGAAAAGCAGAACACCAGCAGCACGTGGAAAGGTTCCTGCCTGGGCCTTTGCATATGAGCAGCCTGCGTGAGCAATGGCCTTTTCCAGACTCCGCATACCAGCAAGTGGAACATCACCTCCAGTCCACATCTTTCAGTTGTGCAGGACTCAAAATAGCATGGTGCTCTCCACAACAAGAGGGAGGTGTGGCATTTCCACTGCTTATCATGGAATGGCCAAGCTCTCACGGCACCACAGATCCATGGTTCAGACAGATTCTTCCTACTGCCCAGTTCACAGCTGCTTTGCTAAGTCACAGCCATCTCCGGGATCACCGTGCCCAAGAAGACGGGGACAAGCAATGCCTCTTGAGTACAGCTGAGGTTCACTGGAGCTGTTACCCCTCAACACCTTATTAGTGCAAGTTGTGGTTCTTCTCATGCATGTCTCCAGCTCCTCAGAACAGGAGGTGGTTTGTGAGAAACTGCTTGGTAGAAGAGCAGCAGCAGAGCAAAGGCAAACAATGCTTGGGTCTACTTTAAAAACACACCTAAATGGGAGAAGACGTTGCCTGCTCCCTAATCCAGTTCCTCCATCTGCAATTCCTGCACTGTGATCCTGCTAAGAACTCAGAAGTAATCGCTAGAGCAGTTGTAAGAATAGGCCAAAACAGAGACTGAGCTCAGCTATTCTCTCCATCTATGACTTCAGTGCTCCTTCACAGCCACCCATAAAGCGCATTAGCTAGCGGAGAACATGGAAACTGGCAATGGAAGGCCAATGAGCAGGATCCTGGGCTCTTGCTGTTCTGGTAGCTTCCTCAGCTAAAAGCAAATCAACCCACCACCTTCACTCAAGCCTACAGCCAAGCACATCCCTCCACAGAACCCAGCCTGTACACCCTTCGCTGTCTGGAAGCTTTGACAGAGATGGGAAAAGAACAGTCTCATCTTCATTAGATGCCTGATTCCAGTCAGAGAAGAGTTTGTGCTGATATTAAAGATGTCAGCCTCTATGTGACTTGTTATAAGGGATCCTGGATGGCAGTGTAGTGGGCAGAGGAGTCTGTTCCGGCAGGGTCTTGACACTGCGAGGGGCTGCTCTGCTGCTGTTTCTCAGGAAAATACAGTGTTTTGTGAATCAGATCTTTGACAGCAGAAACATCGCCTCTTTCTACAGAAAAGAGAGAAAGACAATTGTTCAGGATTCTCAACAGGGAGTACAAAAGCCCCGCTTCCTCAAGAAGTACCTGGAACTCTAGTTCCCAGCACATCACCTGCCAGCAGCCCTTCCTCTCTTTATTCCTGTACATCCTTCACCCTTTCTGCACTCACCCACACCCAGCTGCTGCAGGAGACTTCCAAACTCTGGGTCACAATCCAGGATTTTCAACAGGTTGGTGGACTCCATTCTCTCCAGCTGCACATCCCAGTAGATGTAGATCTTCTGATTGAAGCTGACATAAACCAGGCAGGGGCTGTTGCTTCCTCCTTTGCATGCATAGAGGCCTGCAGAAAGCAAAAGTGTGGAGATCCGACTACTTCCAGAAGGACAGAGAAAACAAATAGGTGACTTCTCATGATGAGGTATCAAAGCTGTCAGCAGAAAGCAGCGAGCACCTGGGGTGAGGGGAACAGACACGGACTTTGGTATATGAAGTGCCTTTGAGACAATCCAAGAAAGTGTCTGTAAACTGTTATTAATGCATAGAGCTTTGGAATTTGCAAGCTGCTTCTTGCAGGTCAGAGAGGGGACTGAGCAAAGCCAAGGCTCAGGCTGGTTCTGTGGGGCTCCTTATCTCCACTTGAAAACAGTTTAGAAGTCTGCAAATTAAAAAAGCAGTGGGGAAGACAAGAGACCACTGTAACACTCCCAAAAAGGACAGGAAAAAAACCCAAAACCATCACAGACAAACCTCAGCATCACCTCCTCTCACCCCTACTTTTCCCAGGTGCCACCAGAGGAAAGACTATCTGGGCCTTCTGCAGTATACACACAGGGAAATTATTCCCCACTGCAGACAGACAAAGGATTCCAGGTCTCCCAAAGTGGAGTAGTAGCTTTGAGGGAGAAATGCTGTGAGGGCTGGCTTTGCAGTCAGGCTCCCCACCTGCACAGAATGCACTGACATTCTCATCTGCTTGAAATCTGGCAACAGTCCGATTCTGGTCGATGATGTACGTCTGACCATCCCACGCACAGGCAATCACCTCCTCATGTCCATTGCCCTGCAGGAACCATAAGATTGCATATTAGCATGGACATCAATTATTCCCAGAGGCAGTCAAAAATCTTTCCTGCTTGTTCAGAGACAGAGCACTAATGTCTGAACAAGGTGTCACTTTTGGACGTCTTGTCCAGACATTTTGCACTTGGAGACCATCTCTCTCTTCTCTATTGTAATCCTTACGTATCATAAGAGCTTGTAGACAATTGGGGTATTAGCAGTGTGCAAAACCATTCAACTTTGCAATAAGTTAAAAGAGCAGCTGGGGGACGAAAAGTTCATAGCAGGATCCTGGGTTCACTAGGGTCAAACAGGCAGACACAGCTCAACCTCTTGCAGGTGGACAGACTGACATGAGTGCAGAATGCACCAGCACAGTCAGAGCACTCTGTGTGTCATCCTGAGATAATCCCAGCCTTTTTCAGCTGAGTCATACTCCCTCTGCCCTTCCTAAATTCACATACACAAAGCCATGTTGAGTTTTTGCCTTCATCCCTCCCAGCCCTATTCACAGACACTCACAGTAACATCCAACTTTTCCAGAGCAAACAGCTGGTGATCAACCTGCACAGACCAGAGCAGCTTGTCTGCTCCCTCCATGAGTTTCAATGTCCCTGAAGGGGGAGAAAAAAAAAAAAAAAAAATTGTCTTGAAAATGTTGAAAGGGAGCAGACTGTTTGCTAACACCGGGCCCTGCACACTCCTTCAACACTTAGGGTCTGCAGGCAGAGGGTTGGGCCCATGGTACAGGCTGTGGTTGATAATAGGTAACACAGTCTCAGTTTTAGGAAGGACAGCAGTCCTTTATCTTGTCATCAGTACATCAGCAACTGGAAACGGAGAGGAAAAATGGCAGCAGCCCTGCTAATTGGACTGTGCTCTAGGACAATAAGAAAAGTGCCCAAAACAGGCTCCCAAAGTACAGTACATAACATCTCACATGAGACAGTGAGTAAACTAGAAGCTTCTCACCATGTCCCACAGATCATGTGATCTCAGGACACCATGTTGACAAGTATCAGCTGAGAGCTGGCTGGCTAATAGCACGGGCACGGCCTCTTGGCTGCTAAAACCATACTGGACACTTACCTCACATACCATTTTTCTGTCATCCAGAGATACTGTGATAGTACTGGGGGGAGGGGAGGCCCGTGAAAGAGTGGAACATAAACATGAATCTATCCTCACAGTGCCCTCCAGCCTCGGTAAGGCTCACGAGTGAACCACAGTGAGGCAGGAAGCCTTGCCAGATGCAGAAGCTTCAGAGTTCAGGCCCAAAGAATAATCAGAAGTTCCCTAGCAGGACATCATTGGGCAGGTGGACTTCTGGCCCAAATAGGACGGGCTGCCTATCTGGGAAGAGAGAAGCACAGCATCTTGTCTCCATACTGTTGTTTTTCGGACAGAAACCCTGCGTTCAGCTCATTAGATTCAGTCCTATTGCAGCCTGTCCTACCATTTCTCAGTCAGGGGCACAAGCAGAAAAACCTGGCTCCAGGTCTGCATGAGGCCAGCTCCTCTCTACCAATACTCAAGTTCCAGCATCCATTTCCTTTACTGCTTTTGGAAAAAACCCAAGTCCCTTCAAGTACAAGGACACATCTCTGCTGTGGTTTAGAGGCTCCCGTCTACATGAATGGCACTGTTGAACTGGCATCTCAAACAGTTATTTGACCACTGAGTAAGCAGGCAACTTAGGAGTCAGCAGATGGCAGTTCTAGTCTCTCTCTCCATCTCAAGCTTTCAGTGTGCCTTTGGGCCAATGACCTAGCCTCTTCATTTTCCCAGCTGCTTACTGCAGCATGGCTTTAATACTTCTACCCCCGTAGGCCATGAGACCATACAAGCAATTAAAGTTTGCAAAATCCTTTGAAATTCACAGATGAATAGACGGTACCAGGGGAGAGATAAAGGCAGATATTGGTAACAGATAGAAAACACAACAGGTTTCCTGGAGAGAGCAAGCCTGTGCAATATCAGACCCAATTCAGTAAGGAACAGAAAGACAGGCTCAGCTTTAACACGTTTCATCATATCCTCAGATACAGGCATGTTATCACTCACCTGCTTTATGGGGGACTTGCTCACAGTGACAACTCTCACCTTGGCTCCTGTCTTAGCTTTCATGCCTTCATATAAAATACGTCAGCAGAAGGAGTCTTTGAGTCAAATTCTCTTGCCTGACCCAGGAAGTGTTTCTGGAGCCCAGCTCCCCCTTCTTTCAAAACCAAAAGCACTGAGCCCCTGGTTCCCTGCTTTGAATTAGTGACAGGCCTTGGCCACCCCACCGGCCTTTCTTCCAGGACAGTGGTAGGACTTACCATCCAGAGTACAGAGGGCAAAGAGACCTGAGCGACTATTCTCACTGGAGCAGCCTGTAAGTGCAGAAGAGAATTACAGGAGTTGATGCCGTTTTATGAGCATTGTTCTCTCCCTCTCCTGAAAAAAAATTCCAGAACAAGCTGATCCATCCCACCTCCTTTTTTGCCTAGCCTCGACACTTTGCTTAGCAGGTATCTGCAGATTCTTGCAACCAATCATACTTCATGCTGGCTTTTATTTGTAGGGCACTGGCATCTCAAAACCCAAGACCTTTGGTTTGCACTGATCATTTTTATCACAGGCATGTCTGGCTCTGCTGGCTGATCCTAGGAGTCTGTCTGTACCACATATGCACTTGCAGGCTGATGGCAGTTCCGATTTTAGTGGACTGCATCACATCCTCTCCAGGCTACAGAAATGCACAAGCATGGGCAGGACCATCACAAAGGACAAAGTGAAGAACAGCTGCAGCCAAACAAGAGTATTACAACTGTACCCTCACTGTTTCTTTCAAGGACAGGAACACGGCCTTCGGCTGTTCTGGGAAGGTGCAGGGGAAAAAAAGAGAGGTCCCGCTAGAAGGACAAAGCATCAGTCACATTAGCACAAAAGCACCTCCATGGCAACTCCTGAATGAGTCTGTGGAGATCATGCTACCAACTCTATTGTTTTCGCTACAGCAAAACTGCACAGAAGTTGTGATCCTCTCCCAGCAAACACTGGTAAGATACTAGAGAGCCCTTGCTTTATGAGCAGATTAGACATGTGCCTTCATGCTCATCTACACACTCAGTCCTGGCTTTCCTAGGCTATGTTTATACAGCTGTGAACTTCCCACAAGCAGTATCCTCCCCAAAGGCTGTACATCACAGTTGTGTGCAGGACAGCACTGACGAATGTGACTAGTTAAATCTGAAGAAGAGACTTCCCTGACCACTGGGCTGCTTCAGCTCTTCAGTACACTCTCCACCTAACTACCAGTCAGAAAAGACATGCAAGGTCAGGTTTTGAAAGTGATATCACACTTGGAGGGAGAGGACTGGAGCTGCATTCAACTACAGCTGCATTTAATCCTTTCAGTGACAATGTAGGAGACACACTGGCTCCCCGAGGTCTGCAGGAACCCAGGAAACCCGGCAGTCTGGGACAAGCCAGCAGAGCTGAAAGCAAATAGGCAGTTTCTCCAGAATGACGTAATACTGCAAGCCTACCTCCACTGTCCATAGACAGCTCCAAGCTACAACATCCTGCACACTCCCAGGACACAGACTACCCTATTTCCACAGATCAGCTTAAAGCAAACAATCAGCTGGTTGAGTGCTCTATTGCTGCTAGCTGACATGCTTCCAGACAGGCTCTGATCCAAAAGATCTGCTGTGTTCCCCTTACAGACCGGTCAGCATGGCACTCTTCAGCTGTTTCATTACTGATGGTCCAGCATCAGTGGGCTTTTCACAACCTTCTCTTTATCCCTTATTCTGTGTGCCTTCATTTTTCACAGACACCTCTCATTAGATGCAAGGCTTTGTACACAGTGAAATAATTGATTTCATGCTCTTGTTAACCATGTTGCTCATAGCAGCATCCGGGATGCTGAAAACATGGCAAGCTTAGGAACTGGGGAGGAAGGGTACTCTGGGAAGGGGAAGAGGAGGGGTTTCAGTGGATTCCTCTTCTCCCCCAGTTCTAATTACATTGGACAGCCTAAATCATTCTCAGACAGCACTGCAGGGGGTAATACTTGGACAGAGCAAATGAAGCTGGATTCCAGCCAGCTGCAGATGAGAGAGTGATCTGCACTGGGAATTTTCTGCCTTCTTGTATTATTCCCACACGCTCCAAAGGGGAGTGAAAGCTGTTTTTTCTCCATAGGTAC